GCAGCTCCCTGACCGGGGATCGAGCTCTTGCTGCAGTGGCTACGGATAGCTTCATAGGTTGTGTCTTAACCCTTGTACCACCAGGGAGACCCTTCATCTTTTTTTAATGATGAGGAGTATAGCGTGGTATCCATACTACATGTTCTCTATCCACTCATCTGTCACTGGACATTTAGGCTGTTTTCACAATGTAGCTATCGTAAATAGTGCTGCAATGAACACAGTGCGTATATCCCTTTGAATTAATATTCCGCATTCTTCTGGTAGGTATACCTTTATGGTTTTCCCTCCCCACAACAAATAATCCCATCTAATCGTGAGAAAAACATCAGACAAACCCCAGGTTGGTCAAAATCCCCGATCAGTACTCCTCAAAATTATCAATGTACTCAAGTAAGGAAGGTAAAGAAACGGTCACAGCCAAGTGGGGCCTAAGGAGACAAGATAATTAAATGTGATGTGCTCTCCTACATGCAAATGCTGGCACAGAAGGGAGACATTGAGTAAAAAATTAGGAGATCTAAACAAAGTACATACTTTAGTGAATAATAATGAATCAATGTAGGTTCATTAATTGTAATAAATGTATCATATCAAGGCAAAATGCTTATATTAGGGGAAACGCATTGTAGGGGGTATGGTAGATAACTCTGTACTATCTTTGCAATTATCCTGTAAATCTAAAATGAAAGTTTATTATAAAAAAAAACAAATGAACCAAAACCACAACTAAGCTTTTCAGCTCATGCAGTGGGAAGTCAACATGTAATACTGGAGATTTTCAGAATAGTAGCAGTATCTCAGGCATAATTCAGTGCTTCCAATGCCAGAAAGATTAGGAAACTTAGCCACCTTTTTTGACTATTTCATGATGAGATGGTTGTTGAGCCCCTTTCCACTTCACCGAAGCACTGGCCATTGTAAATATATACATATCCTTTCCAAAAAGTCCTTAGCACATCACAGCAAAATCTGAACAAAACAGAGGATTGCCATAATCAGGCAGCAATCCACATTTTGCTTATTGTAGGAACTCAATATTTGTTAAAATGTTATTTGCAAATCATTTCACCACATTAAAACATCCATAACTGAAAAAATATTTCTCCAAAGATATACAAATGGTCACCAAGCATGTGAAAAGATGCTCAGTGACATCGATGCATCTCAAAACCACAATGAGAGGCCACTTCACACTCACCACCATGGCTATAACTTTAAAAGTGGAAAATAGTAAGTGTTGGTGAGGATATCGAGGAAGTGGAGTCCTCATACATTAATGATGGGGCTGTAAAATGGTGCAACCACTGTGGGAAACTATTTGTTGATTCTTCAACACGTTGAACATAGAGTTGCCATATGAATCAACAGTTCCTCTCGTCTTTTGGTTTATACCCAAAAGAATGGAAAACAAGTATTCAAACAAAAACTTGCACATGAATGTTCACAGAAGCACTATTCACAATAACTGAAGGTGGAATCAGCCCAAGTGTCCATCAATGGCACTTAATTAAAAGGAATGAAGTGCTAATCATGATCCATGGATGAATTTTGAAAACATCAGGCCAAATGAAAGGACCCAGGTACAAAAGACCACATATTGTAGGACCTCTTCTATATGAAATATCCAGAATAGGCAGATCCATAGAGACAAAAAGCCAGACTGGTAATTAACCAGGGGCTGGGGAATGAAAGGTGAATACTTAATGGTTTTAGGGTTTCCTTTTGGGGAAATGTGAAAGTTCTAGAACTAAATAATGGTGATTGTTGTACAACACTATGAATATATTAAATGCTTTTCTTTGTACATTGTACAATTTGAAATGGTTAAAATAGTGAGTTTATGTTGAATGTATTTTACCACATTTAAAATCAAAAGGCAAAGAACATCCATAATCGACATGCTTCCAAGCACGGTTATTGCACCAATAAATCAGTAATAGTTGGTGTACTTGATAGAAATGAAAGTTCCTGAGCTCATCTGACAAAATTGTATAGTATTATATTATACTTCAACAGCACCTCACAGGACCTTTGCACACAAATTTGACAGCCAAACTAAAAAAAAAATCTTAAGAAAGGAATTGTCTCCTTTATGTTCCCAACCCAAGTAGGCCTGTGTAATGTAGGCTTTATTTGTTGAATGAACAGACAAATATTAGTTTTATTTAAAGGGAGAACAAAGTTCCCGCTCTTTCAGCTGCCTAGGATTATGTCAGTTATAGGGAAGAGTCCTGTATTTTGTTTCCAGCTTAGACCATGGAAGTCTGAGCAATCAATATAAGTCACCTTGTGAGTGTGGTGGCAGCCTGAGATGGAGCAAGGAGATCTCTACTTCTTCCTTTGTGTTAAGACATAGAAGGCCTTAGAGATGTCCTGAAGAGCCTCACTATCATACTTTCAAACTTCCTGATATTTCCAAGGGAGTTCCACACATCACATATTTTGTGCCAGTTAAATTTGTGACTTTGTCATGTAGATACAAAGGGAAGATGCCAATCAAATGAGTTTCATGTCCCCAGTGTCAGTTAGGACTGCAAGTCTAGTTTTAGAACAGTGTGGTATCCTCAAGTGGACAAGAAGTTTGTAATCATCTCCTGAAGTTTTTTTCATCTTTGACACAGAAAGTCAATAATCCAGTAAACACTCTAGATGCTTTTGGATATCATGACCATAAACTATTTAATTAACTTTTCAGTTTTCAAATGAACAGCTCAATGAGCCCATAAATTTTATGGAGTCCATATTTAATTTGTGCTGCAACAGGACCATCTAATGAGAAGTGAAAATTGAGTGATTAAGGAAAAAAGTGACAAAAATAAATTAAAAAAAAAAAAAAACGATGGGCTAGTATACATAACCTGAAAAGAAAAACTTTTTGCACAGTATTGAGCCCATGGCCTTTTTGGACACCTGAGCAAAGGCAACATATTCTCTGTGACTACTTGAGTTAGAAAGTACTTTCCTGGCTGAGTCCTAGAACAACTTTCATTGATTCAGACACAGGGTCGTATGGACCAGCTGTAGAAGTGGGAACATGGGCAGTCAGGCCTCAGGAACCAAAGCTATTTCCAGGATTATTTGCTATGCTGGTTGGGTTTACCAATAAAAATGCAAATACTCATGGAGCAACACCTACATGTGCAGAGTACTCTTAACTAGAGCAGTGGGCACACAAAAGAGGTTTAAACTATTGATAATCCTCAAAGCAATTTAGAATCTGCTTTTTAAATTGAATTATTTTACTATGTAATTATTATACTATGAAAACAGATGTGCCTGGATGGAGTGTTTGGGGAGTGATGAAGAAAAGACCAAAAGGTACATCGTGGCGGAATTGTGGTGGACAGAAGAGGCCCCCTCCCCTAAAACTTTAAGGTTGGCTGAATGGTTCCAGGCACAGGACATATCAAGGTCCACCCTAAAGTGTTCTAAACTTATCTGCTCAGGGACATTTCTCCAAAAAACATGTTCTCCTCAAACAAAATATTTTGGGTTTTTTAAAAAAGATTTATTGTTTATGCATACAAGAACTGGGGTACTGGCCAGAGGCGCAGGGGGTGAGAGGATTCACCAGAGACAGAGTGGAGAGCAGGACAGGTGGGTTGACTGAAATACACTGCTGAGGGGAGCCGCTGGCGAGACAGGAGAGGTCTGCTGTGCCATGTGGGTCACCACCCTGGCAGGGAATCCAACTCCTGCTGCAGTAGTTGCAGATAGCTTCATAGTGCTGACGCTTAACCCCTTGCGCCACCGGGAGGCCCCTCAAACAAAATATTTTGGAAGTTTAATTTGTTTTACAAAGTCTTGGTTCAACTTTCACGACTTTGAAGGGACATCTTAAGAATCACTACTAATCCTGTTGCATTAGAGAATATGACCCAATGAGTAGTAAATGGTTTAGGTGGGGACATTTAATTACCAACCGATTTTGTGGAACAAGCAAATCACACATCCCTTGTCCAACGTAGGACAGGTTTGAACCTGTAAATCCGGGTTCTAAGTAGCTTCCGACATTTCTACCCCACCAGCCCCTGCACCATTCCCTGTGCCCGCTCTGGGCATTCCAGTCTGTGCCTTAAAAGGGGGCCACCAGCGTAGCCTTTAGGTGGTGTGCTGGGCTAGCTGCGAAAGGCCGGCTTGGCTTCCCCGGAGGAGGCTTCAAAGGATGGAGGTAACTAATAAAATGAACCCCTTCGACTCCTCTAGGTGATCATAAGTGAATAAAGAACGGCAGTCCCTGGGCCCCCAGGCTACTCTCTAGGAAAAGGCGGTGCACAGCTACAGGGCACCTTGTCACTGTCCAGAAAAAAGGGAATATATACGCCCTGGCAAAAATATAGCCTACGCCGAATTCTGATTCCAACTGGTACCGATCCTGGTACCTCATCCCAACTGGTATCATCAGGAGCCTCCCAACGGGCGGTGGGTGCACTCACCCAGGCCTACTCCCTAAGGGGCAGGGTAAGGGGCCCCGGGTCTGGGGCCCAATCCAATCCAAGAGCAGATTGCCCGCGAGCTCCGGACGCCCGCAGGAGACCCGCGCCGCCGCGCCCCCTTCCAGGAACTGGCTGGGCCCGCCCTCCGCTCCCCGGTACCCCAAGGGGAGGCCCTTGCACCCAGGAGACCCACACCCGCGCCGCCCCCAGCTCCTTGGCCGGGAGGGAGGGCCTGCCTGTGGCCTGCACCCCGGGGCGGGCACGCGTCGGGTCACCGCGCCGGCCTTGCGCAGCCAGCCGGGGAGCGTCAGGGCAGAGGCGGGGTGGAGCGCGATTAAAAGGCGCTGCAGGTGGGAACCGCGGCCTTCACCCCAGCGGGCGGGAAGGCGGAGCAGACCCAGAGCCGCCCGGGAGTCTAAGGCGCCCCTGCCGTCCCGCCTGCCCTCAGCCGCGCAGGGAGCCCCAGCGCTTCAGAACCCGCGCCCCGGCCGCGCAGGTGAACGGCGCCGGGCGCCCCACCATCCTCACCGCCCCCACAGAAGCTGGGCCGTGGGCTGGCGGGGTCGCTCCGGACTCACTGGTGCGCGCACCACCGCAGCCCCACGAGCGCTGGAACTACCGCCGAGAACCCCGGGCAGGTGAGCTCGGAGACCCGCCTCCCGCGCCCGAGTCGTCCCGCTGGAGACCGCTCCCGGGTGGGCACAGGCGTCCCTGGGGGCTGGGGATGGTTAAAGGGGGGTGCCCGGGGCCAACCCTCGCCTCGGAGCCGCATCTTCCCGCGTCCAGCCGGCGGGATCCCCCAGCCGGGCGTGGGCAGCGGGCGCAGCTTGCATCACCCCGCACGGGAGGGGCGAGGAGGGGCTGGTCTGACTTTTACCCCAATGGTCCCCCTTTGACTTGCACGACAGGTTTTATAAATGTTTCTCAACGTGTGTGAAGGTGGCAGAGATGGGGACTGTGCCCCTTTCCCCTTTCAGCAGAGGACACAGATGGGGACTGTGTCCTCTGCTGCGCCTTGGATTTTCTTCGCTTTTATGGGTCACTGACAAATCCCGCTTGGATTTGGGGGCAGAGAAAAGCCAGTTAAACGGCGGGGTTTCGGTCAAACCTCGAGACTCAAGGCGGGTTGGTAAATCGCAGGGATGGCTGCGAGATGCGCATCCGAGGAACTTGTGAAACGCAGATGACAGCCCAGTGGACAACAGTAATTAAGTGTCATTGGTGACACATCTCACTTAAAAGGTGGAGGCACCCATCCCAGTTGTCACCTGACGTCGTGTGGGTTTGGGTTGTGTTTTATTTTTTTCTATTTCCACTTGAGTAACCTCCGTCGTCCCCGGAGAGCGGGAGGTGAGTCTTGTGGACGCCCGCCAGGGCCGGGGGTCGTGGGGCAGCACGGATGCGGCCCAGCCTCCGCGGTGCTCCCTAGGTGGGATCTCGCTGTCAGTTTAGTGCCCGGCTGAATTTAACCTTGGATATAACCATGCGCGGTTGTTTTTTCCCTTCGGTGGATTTTATGGCTTAGAAGTGTTTTCTTGCCCCAGTTCTAGCAGAATCTAACCAATGTTCTAGAAGAAAATGTCCTGCTCAATGCAGTTTCCTTAGAATTGCAGGATGCTGCTCAGCACTGCGCTGTGGAGCGCTTTGTCTGTTATTTGGATCAGGCAGAGTCTTTGGGGGTGTTGTTTGAGCTCTGCCAAGGAGGGGAGAAGGGGGTTTCTGGCTCGAGAACACCAACACTGTGTCGTGGCCTGCGGGAACAGCCAGGGTGCTGAGGGTCTCCCGGCAGTGACCAAAACCCGGGGAGGACGCTTCCCAGCTCAGCTGTTTCATCGGTGTTTTTATTTTAAAACAAATTATGATGCAGGTTTGGTGACCTCACTCTGTTACTTTTCTCTTCTGAATTATAAGAGCTACGAAGCAAGCAAGAGTTAAGAAGGGACAGGGCAGAAAGCGCTGCGGGTCTGACTAAACAATCTCAATAGGCTGAACAGATGTTCCTCACAGAACCGTTTTGATTCTATCAGAAGATTCCGGGAGCTATGAGTTGTTTGCACATCTTAGTTAAAAAGTTAAGTAGAATATAGTTGTGGGGAAATAATTTCTGACCCAAACTTCTGGGCCCATGAGGACATCATTCTGCCAATGGCTACATTATCCTAAGTTAAGTTTCTGTTTTTTTTCTGCTTGCTATGAAAGTGGAACTGGATCCACTGCTGGCCTTGTCTGATTTTATTCCCAGGATTATTTAATTCTTATTAGACTTTGGGAAAGACACAGGTTGGCTTGAATGGAGTGCGAAGAACTTAATGGAATTGTTTTAAACTTTACATTTTTAAATACAGTAAAAAATGCATGTAATTCAATCGTCTGTTTTTATATTTAGTCTCTATAAGTAGAAAAATTCATTTTTACTTAATTTTGAAGAACTATGTAAATCTTAAATCCATGTCATCACTACTTGTTATTTTAAAAGAATAGTTGCTGAAGTTTTGAGAAATTAAGTTTAAAAATCAGTTACCTGATCAATTATTTCTTAGATGACCTGGGATTTCAGAAGACAGACTCTTCTTGATTAAAAAGAGAACTTATGTTTTTTTTCCTGCTTTCATTTATTGTTTTTAATTACATTTATTGAGGTAAAATTAGTTTACAACATTGTATGTGTTTTAGAGTATAAGTTCACACCTCTACAAATGCCAAATGCGTCTCATCACTCCACTCCCACCACCAAACCCCCAACAATATCTCACCATACATAGTCTATTGGGATCCCCCTCTTTCTTCCCTCTGTTTTGTTTTCTATTTTTTATATAGTGCTGATGGAGGTGGGGGGGTCCGGTTCCTGCTTCTCAAACTCTACTCCTTTTTCTTTTTAATGTTTAGGGAATGGGATTGAGGTTTGGGCTTGGGCAGCAGTTGTCGTAGTAATAGCAGTAGTAGTAGTGGGAGTGGTCGTGGTAGTAGGAGTAGTTTGATAAGGAAAAGAATGCATGCTAAAGATTTTATTTTGGTTTTATTGTATAGTCAAAGTATGGAGTGTCAGGAAACTGGCAGTATCCAAACTCCCCTCGTTAACAGTTCTGGGAATAAAAAGAACCACCCAAAAATACCTTACATAACACACATGTGGGAAGAGTTAAAGGAATATGCCACAGCTGTTTTTTTCCTCAACAGGTGACTTCCTCATTGACATTCAGAAACTGCTCGAAGCTTTATATTCATGTGCAATATTGGCTTCTAGGCAATCAAATAATGTAGAAGAAAGCCTGAAGCCCTTGAGAAGGATCCTTGCCCTAACTCTCCTCCTGTGATAAGCTTTGAGTCCTTGGAAGTAAGGCTGACTGGGCTTGTTTGCTTGGATATTGTTGCCTTTTATCAATACACACAAGTCAACTATGCAAAGCTTGGTGGAAACTGTGAGGAATGTGTTCTGTTCTAGAGTCTAGTAAATATTTACTGAATGACTGGAAAGCCCATCCAAAGAGGAATAGAACTATCTAGAAAAATATTTTCCACCACTTGGTATCTGCTGAGGGTTATCACTATAGTTTTTAGGGCTTTAGTTTTGATTCTAACATCAATGAAACTAAAATGACATTGTTAAGAAAATTAGTTATGATTAAATTCTAAATTAGAGACTAAAGAAAATTCTTAAATAAAACAATAAAGAAATTGTGTCACTGAAGCAGAATACTGATAGACAAATTATTTGAGTCGTAAAGGGGGAGGACCATCTATCTTCACAATACCTTGTGTATCATCAGCAGTTGCAGCTTATATTTTGGTCTGGAGCTGTAGTATCAAGAATGCAACATGGAATTGTTTGCTATGATTAGATATACCACAAAACCAAATACAATTTACCTTTGTCAGTTTAAATGTAACCACATTCTTAGAAGACTGCAAAAGGGAAACATATCTATTCTTCCCTTAAAAGAGAGCCAAAAGGCACCAGTTAAAATAAATCTCTCTGGTTTACAAAAATAGTTAATATTTACTTTTTTTTTAGAAAAGTTCCTCCCATTGTCTTAAGTCAGCTCGAAGCATGAACAGATAGAGCTTTACTAATACTAGTTGCAAAGGGTTCCAATAGATGCAATTATTTTAGAAGTAGGTTTCAGAGAGCATTTTGTCTTCAAATCTTCTCTAACCAAAATGTTTATAAAACGTTACCCCAGGGGTTATAATTTTGAAGGAGAGAGGCTGAGGATTAGTCCCCAGCCAGGCAGGCCTCAACCCCAAAGAGTCAGATCAGGGAAAACAACTGTATTCCGAAATCCTTTAAAACCTGCTGAGTCTACTGCCTCCTGACAGCTCCCTCCGGAGGACAGTCCAATGTGCCCAATGCGTCAGGAAGTTTAGGGCCATCCCCTGTCCTGTCTCCTAATATTTGTGAGATGAACTCTCCTTCTTCTTCCTGTCCAGAGAAGATATGCAGGAAAAACCCAGACTTCTTTGCCAGCCCCCCAGGAATGAGGTGTACTAGACGTGAGAATGGAAGGAGATGCTCTCACTGTAGGCAACAAGGGCTTACATCCCTGAGTGCCTGCCCATAGCACACTCAGAGTGAGGGAGGGATGGGAAATGTGAAAATAGTTCTGCCTTTCCAGTCTTTTCTACTGTGATAAATAATAGGACCATTGTGCCTCTTAAAGGGAGATACTGCAAGTCAGGTGACTTGTTTTCAGACTGATGAATTGTGTAAAGTGACCAGGAGAGTAGACATGCTTGTCTTTGAGTTTAATCACTCATTTTCCATTGTGATCCAGGCAACCTTTTTTTTTTTTTTTTTTTTGCCTTTATTGGCACAAGTAAATTGCTGATTTTTAGTCGAAGTCAGCAAGTAGTGTGAAATGCATTATTCTCTTCAGAGCATCATTTGGGAGCTCAGAGAAGCCAAACAAAAAAAGAAAAAAAAAAAAAGAAGCCACTTTCATCATCATTGTCCCTGTTTTTTGAGAAGGAGAAACCCAAAAGAGCAGAAGTCAGGGGCCTTGCTGCTAAGAAGCAGGGACCATGTACTTGAGAAGCAATTACTGGCTCCTGACCTCTCCTAGAACCTCAGCCTCCCAGAGACACGCAGGCCTGGTCTTCATTGGCACCTTGGTCTGTTTACATCCCAGAAGGGCGGGTATTAGGTGACTACAGTGTGACATTTCTCAGGCAGGCCACAGACAGAAAACTCAGAAAATGGCCTTCCTTCCTGTAAGGGAGCTTAAATTCTCTGCACTTTGGAGAGTTTGAGAAAATGTGAATTTTTATTTGCTAAATCAAAACTTGTTGACAAGCATTTAATTAACCAAACATCAATGGGAGATGTTTGTTGGTTAATTAGAGAACATCTTTATCTTATAAGCAGCAAAGAGGACTGATCCCTTCAATGAATAACTGCTGTAAAATATGTTTAAACAACAAAAAATATGTTTCTAACTCCCCTCTTACCTACCTCATGTCCTGAAACACTCCCAGAACAGCAATAATTACAAAAATTTATTATAATGACTTTCATCAGGGCCTAAAAATTAACTTCATAATTCATATTATCTAAAAAGAGTTTTTTAAATCAATGATGCATTTTTTTGTGAACATTGGAAATCTCTAGGCTGTGGTATAAGTGGTATGTTAACGGGAAGATTTAATAAATAACGTCAGTTATAAAACCTTGAGATCACCACTCCTGCAAGGGCCCTCTGCATGAGCCCTGACAGTCACTCACACAGCCTCTGACTGAAGTTTTAAAGATGAGCAACCATAACTACAAAGAGTTTGTATTTAAAGATATGTGCCATTGTTCTCCATCTTTTAAACAAAAACCTAGCTTTCTGTTAATTCCACCAGTGGATCCAATTCTTAGTCCTAGATCAATACAAGGATTTGATTCTTGTATATACAAGGCTCTTGATTCTGCCACAACCACAGAGATTGCTGTCATGTGCCTCATGGCCTCAAGCTAAAGCGTTCCAGCTCCCTCCTGCTCCACCTGTGAGATCCTTGCAGGCCCTGCCACCTGTTCACACTCCCGTGGATACCCTTCTGCATCCCAGCATCTTGAAAGTGAAAGGAACATGCACCAGGAGCCAGGCTTTCCATTGTCTCCATATAACCTAAGCCTAGGTTTCTTTTCGGCGGCTGTATCGTATCGCACAAATATCCTGCCTATAAGGATAGTCCATGTAAGGCATACTAGCCATACTATTCTTGAGTAAAATGTTAAGATGTAGTTGTTAGATGAGCTGTGAATCTACAGTTAATCTGATGATAATATTAAAGGCATCTATAAACAACATTCTGAGTCTAAGACAGTATGTGCTTTTGCATTATTATGGTTACTATGAGTAAACAAACAGCAACTTTACAAATAGGTTGAATGATGCTGTTTCAGAAGTTTGCTGAAGACAAGTTTCTCTTATTTTGAAAATTGGGATATTTGATCTTCTCCAAGCATTGAGCCTCTCTCATTCTGAATAATAAAATTCTGATCCTATCTACAGATTTTTTTTTAACCACAATATGAATTTTTTCATTTTCTTTCATTGTTGTTCAATTTTGTACAGTATTTGACTTCTCTATTTGGGTGTTATCCCATTCCATCTACAAATTTTTTAATACTCTGTCATTTAGTTCTTCTGGGGATTAAACTAGAGCTCTTTCTCAGTAAGCTCCGCATTGTTCCTATAACATGTTTTTAGAAATCATTTTAAAAATAATTCCTTGATAAAGTAGGGGAAGTAAAATAAGAGTGTCTGCCTTTTATTTGTTATCAATTAAAACTATGCCATCTGATCTAAGCATTGTGCCAGCTCTTCCTTTTTAATTTTGGCTCAAGTATTGTATTTTCTTTTCTTTTTTTTTATATTCCTACTTTTTTGTTCTTACTTTCCCTTTTGCAGGTGGGAGGGATGTTTCAGTAGGTAAGTTCTGGTCCATTTCGTGTGTTTTAATTTTCTCCACTTGTATTTGGGATCTGAGTTGTCTTCCATTTTCTTGTGACTTTAAAATCTGAGCTCATAGGTGCTGCTAGGGGATGGGGGAGGACAGGGAGAAGAGGTGTCACTGGAGAAGGGGAAGCCATATGCATTCAAGCACAAGAAACTATCTCTAAGGTGGGTTCACGAAATTTGGTGATTCCCTCTTTCCCTAAAAGGGGGTGTGAAAAAATGCATGAATGTGTATTTATAATGAGTCACTTTCAGAAGAAAGAGAATGCTGACCAATTCTTTAGTCTGCTGTGTCAATGTAGGCTAAGAAGACATCTGTTTAAAATGTAGCAAAAGTCTCTAGAAGTAAAGAAGTCCTTCCCTCCCAGGATGTGAAATCAGTGCATTAGAAGAGGGGTTCTGCCATACCATGCCCAGGCCCATTGGTGTTGACTTGGGTGTGCCAGGAGAGAAGATCAACTCTGGCCTTGGTTCCCACGGAGAACTAATGAATCTTTGTAAAGGCTCATGATTCTTTTCAAAGAGGATCTCTCAGTATTTGACCATATTAATATTACTTTACCATATTCCCTAGGAATACATAATTATGGAAAATTATGTTATTCGAGCTAGGAATTAATATAAATGCTTTTACAAAGTAAACTAATATCTTTGGTTTCTTCCCCCCTACCCCCCCCAGTCTGCTAAGTAAACCAAATTATGTCATTTCAATAAAGGTTTTTTTCCCTTGGATAATCCATTTAATGAATACAATCTACTGTGATCCCTTAGGCAAAATGAAATAGATGTCTTTCATATTTACATAGTGATTAAGAGGAAGTTAGAAATGAATTTATTTACCTGTGTTCCTGGATTAATGTCAAACAGCAACCTAATGTATAATCTGAATTCAACTGAATCAAGATGATCTTAAATCCTACAAAAGCTATTTCTGGTCAAAATATCAAGAATGTATTTAAAGTGGTCATTCCTTCTCAGAAAGACTTCTAGTAGCAGTTTAGGGGGTTGAAGTTATAAAATATCACCACAGATCTTAAGAGCAATTTGCTTGAGTCTGTCGCATAGCCTCACAGTTCTATAAATCCAAAGCAACATGTCATGAACTGACCTTTGCTAATTTTCATCTGTTCAGGAATAAAGCAGCACCATGGACTGGGGCACCCTGCACACCTTCATCGGGGGTGTGAACAAGCACTCCACCAGCATCGGCAAGGTGTGGATCACTGTCATCTTCGTCTTCCGGGTCATGATCCTGGTGGTGGCTGCTCAAGAAGTGTGGGGAGATGAGCAGGAAGATTTTGTCTGCAACACCTTGCAACCTGGCTGCAAAAATGTGTGCTATGACCACTTCTTCCCGGTTTCCCACATCCGGCTGTGGGCCCTGCAGCTCATCTTCGTTTCCACCCCGGCGCTGCTGGTAGGGATGCATGTGGCCTACAACAGACACGAGGCCGCCCGCAAGTTTAGGCGAGGAGAGAAAAGGAATGAATTCAAAGACATAGAAGACATTAAAAAGCAGAAGGTTCGGATTGAGGGGTCCCTGTGGTGGACATACACCAGTAGCATTTTTTTCCGAATCATCTTTGAAGCGTGCTTTATGTATGTGTTTTACTTCCTTTACAATGGGTACCACTTGCCCTGGGTATTGAAATGTGGGCTTGAACCTTGCCCCAATCTTGTCGACTGCTTTATTTCTAGACCTACGGAGAAAACCGTATTCACCATTTTTATGATTTCTGCATCTGTGATTTGTGTGCTGCTTAATGTGGCCGAGTTGTGTTACCTGTTACTGAAAGTGTGTTTTAGGAGATCAAAAAGAGCAAAGATGCAAAGAAATCACCCCAATCATGCTATGAAAGAGAGTAAGCAAAATGAAATAAACGAGCTTATTTCAGATAACGGTCAAAATGCAATCACAGGTTTCCCCAGCTAAACATTTTAAAGCACAATGTAGCTGACTCAATAAAACTGGGATGGCCTCCTGAAGGCAATGCTGACCTAAAAATCCCCTCTCTAGGCTGAAGACTTTGTCTTTGTACATGACTTTCATAATACACAGCCACTTGAGTTAACTTTTTGTAGAATAATTATGCCATTAATATGCAAAGTGGTCCATCTCTGAAAACTAAGACAGGCTGACAATTGTGCCTTGAAGTAACTTCAACATGTTTATTTAATCAGACCTCCTGACATAGTGAGCATGTTCTGAAAATTTATGTCATGGTTGTTGATAAAGAAAATTTATCTAGAATTGATACTTTTATTAGTAAAAGATATTTTTATAGTATTGAAAGTTTTCTAGTTCTCACTTTAAATTTATATAAAATATTTTTATAATGCCTGGTCTTTCTTACCTGGATAAACATATGGTGTTAGTTTTAGAATTATACCCTAAGCATCAAAATTTTGAACTTATAAAGGATCTGTCTTGCTGTAAATATTGTTTTTACAATATTTGTTATGTCTATGGACAAATGTATGAACTATCATGATACTCTCAAGGTGGAAAGTGTTCATTGTACAATATATTTTTACACCTTTCTGAATGTAAACAGAGCTGTCTGGAAGCAGGAAACTTCTCAACTAGCCTATTTGCAATCATTGTAAACAATTCACTTCTGAATGTGCTTGCTTCAATAAAGATCAGTCTGCTGCTTCAGCTTTCATCTGCAGTATGGGTTCCTGGCTGGAAGGGGTCTGATGAATTGATTGGTGACTTTTGCTGGGAAGGCTGCTGCTTGCCCTCTGAGAGCTGCCTGGGACTTGTGTGGGGCCTCTTGTCCTCGCACATGAAATGAGCATAGGCTGAGTTAGCAGCCCACCCAGTCCTCAGCTTGAAGAGTTGTGCTTTAGGGCATGGAAAATGTCCTCTAGGTCAGTTCAGCCTTAACAGAGAGGAGTTTAAGGACTTTTTTCTGCATTTCAAATTTCAGAGTAAATCTTACCTCTTCATTCCCATCTTTGGAGAAACCTTCCTCCCCAGGAATTTACAGATGGAACACAGATGTCTTTAAAGTGGATGTTCACGCGTCAGTTGCAGACAGGTCGCTCTGGAGTGATAAGACACAAATGAAACCTCTAGGTAAAGGAATACAATTAGCGTGGTGTATTATACATGGAAACGCCAAGGGGAAAATGAATATACATGAGGGCATGACATGGCACAATGATTCCAGAATCTATCTGCAGGAAAACAAGTAACTTTCATTTTCTTTAGTCCAGAGCAAATTCCAGACATCATTTTGTCAATATATACATTTAGTATCACTCCATAAAAACCAAGGAATAACTTTTTGAAACAATTTTATGATCACACTAAAAAGAAAATCTAGTCAACACTCTTAATTCCTGATTATCCTAAAATGTTCTTTCTTTTTAAATGGCTATTTGAACAGGTATCAAATGAAACCCATAAACAGGATGGCAGCATAAAACAGTCTTGGCAGCAATTCCAATCTGTGTAGAAAAGGGACCCCTCTATGCTCTTGGAAATCCCAGTCCCCCTCACAAGAGCCCTGGTGGTCCTTTCTCCCTCCTATATTTTTAATCTCTTCCTCTTTCTTGTTGCTTTTTGCTCTTCACCCTCTTTGAAGTTTCCTCTCCCGTGTAACTGTCACTGCACCACCCTGCACAAGACTGGTGGGCCATGCTTGCAATCCACCTACTTCTCAACACCTTAATCTGGGCCTTCAGTCACCACTGAACTGAAGTCAACAGTAGCACCAGTGACTTCTTGAACACCAAATCTTTGGCTTCTTCTCAGTAATTGTCTTGAAATTCTTTTTGAGGTCTTCCTTTGGATCCTGAAAGACTGCCCAATCTAACCTTGGGTCTTTACTTCCCACACCTCCTCAGTCTCCACTATCTTTTCTCTCTCTCTCCCAACTCTTGGATGAAGACCTTTCCTTTCTTATAAGGTATCCCATCTTACAGAAGAGGACACTGACATTCAAGAGGTTAACTGGCCCAAGGTTAATCATAAATAGCAGAGTAGCAGAGCCAAGACTCAAGCCGGATCCAGCTAGTTGCCATGGGGAAGTTGCCTGGGAGTCCAATGAGCACAGACTGAATTTAACAGCCCACCCATCCTCAGCATGGAGAGGGGTTGGCTACTTTAGGACACAGAAAATGTCCTCTGGGTCAGCCACTCTGGGTCAGTGGCTTAACTCTCATGTTACTTCAACTCCCATAGCACCATGCTTGACGACCCCACATGATGTATAGTGTTAAGAAATCTCACACACCACTCACATAGTTCCAACAGTTATCTGTTTGTGTCTATCATTATCCCAACAGACTCTCACCTTATTCCCCTGTCTGGATTACTCTGAAGCAAATCCTAGGCACATTTCATCTGTAAATATTGAAGTATGGGTCTTTTAAGACTACAGACTAATCTTGTATAATGAAACACAATGCAACTATTACACTAAAAAATCCAGTGTTCATAATTCCAAACCTTCATTTTAAATGCTCCTTTATATTTTTTTAAATTAAACTTGTTATTTTGATATAATTACAGATTCACGTGTAGGTGTAAGAAAAAATACAGAGACATTACATGTGCTCTTTACAGTTTCCACAGTGGTACTGTCTTACAAATGATCGTACAAGATGTCAGGCAGGATACTGACACTGTACAGATACACCATGTTTCTACTACCATAAGGACCCCTCACATTGCCCTTTTATACCCACTTCTTAGTCTATCCAAACCCCCTACATTCTCCCTTAACTGCCGGCAACTTAAGATCCACTCACCATTTTTGTTGCTTTGTCATTTTAAGAAAGTCATAAAAGGAATCATACGGTAGGAAACCTTTTGAGATTGGATTCTGCACACACACACACCCCCACCCCTCCCTGTAGCATAATTCTGTGGAGCTTCATCTTTGTTTCTTTCCATTGATGAATAATATTCCATGATATATATGTACCACAATTTGTCTAGCTATTCACCAACTGAAGGACATCTGTGTTGTTTCCAGTTTAGAGTTTATGAACATTTATGTGCAGATTTTTCTGTGAGCACCATTCTTCATTTTTTAGGATAAATATCCAACAGTCCAATTTTTGGGCTTTATGTTAGTTGCACACTTTTTTTTTTTTTTTAAATACTACCGAGCTATTTTCCAGAGTAGCTACACCATTGTATTTACACTCCCATCAGCAATATCTGAGTGATCGAGTTTTTCCTCATTCTCACCAGCATTTGTGGAATCACTATTTTCCATTCTATCCATTTTGAGAGATGTGTTTGATTAGCATTTCCCTAATGGCTAGTGAAGTTGAATATCTTTTCATATATTTATTTGCCATTGCTATTATCCTCAAGGCTTTTGTCTATTTTCTAATGAGGTTGTTTGGTTTGTTGAGTTTTGAGAGTTCTTTATATATTCTCGATCTTAGACCTTGCACAGTATCTCGGTTTGTAAATATTTTTTCCCATCCTGTAGTTTTTCATTTCATCTTGTTAACAGAATATTGAGCAGAGCTAGAGTTTTCATTTTAACAATGTCCGATTTGCCTTGCTTTTCTTTTATGGAATGTGGTTTTTGTGTCATCGAAGAACCCTGTGCTTAGTCTTAGATCTCAAATATTTTCTCCTATTGTTTCCTAAAAGTTGTATAGTTTTATGCTTTACACTTAAGCTTGTGTCCATTTTGCGTAATTTTTATATAAGATCTGAGACTTGAGTCTTAAGTTGAGGTTCATTTGTTTTTCCTGTAGAAGTCTAGTCGTCCCAGCAGAGTTTGATGGAAATGCTATCTGTTCTCCATTGACCTGCATTTGCACCCTGTCAAAAATCAACTTGGACACATTTGTGAGAGGTCATTTTCTGGATTCTTTCTGTTTCATTAATCTGTGTGTCTCAATATATTACAAGTCCAATTATAAGTTCAAATAGTCTTGTAATTGTATTATATAAGTAAGTCTTGAAATCTTCTAGAGTGATTTCTCCCACTTTATTCTTTTTTAAATTGTTTTCCTTATTTTAGTTCCTTTACTTTTTCACTTAAGATTTAGAAAATGCTTGTCTATGTCTAAAATAAATCTTCCTAGGTTTTTAATTGGAATGGCAAAAAACCTGTATTTTCAATTTGGGGAGCACTGAGCATTTGTGATGTCGAATCTTCACACAAATAGCCAGTGTAACTATTTATTTATACCTTTCTTTGATTTCCTTCATCAGTATTTTGTAGTTTACAGCATACAAGTCATGTAAAAGTTTGTTACTACACTTTCATTTCTGTGCTTTTTGACTAATTTTTTTCCTGGTTATGGGCCACATTTTCCTTTTTCTTGGCTTGTTTATTAATTTTTTATTGGATGCTGGATATTGTGAATGTTATGTTCTTAAGTGTTCTTCCTTTACTGAATTAAATAACTTGCAGGGCTTCCCTGGTGGCGCAGCGGGTTGAGCGCAGCACTATGAAGTTGTCCGCAGCCTCTGCAGTGCGGGTTTGATTCCCAGCCAGGGAGATACCCACATGGCGCAGCGGACCTCTCCTGCCTTGCCTGCTGCTCCCTTCAGCAGTGACTTTTGGTCCGTCTGCTTGTTTTGTTCCCCACTCTGTCTCTGGTGAGTCCTCTCACCCTCCTGCGCTCTGGCTTGTACCCCAGTTCTTGTATAAATGAATAAATCTTTAAATATATATAAATCTTTTTTAAAAATAAAAATAACTTGCCAAAAAAAGTTTGTTATATGTACTTCTAACCATTTCATTTTCTTTGTGTGATTATAGTTTTGTGTTAGTTAATGCTAATTTGTGTCCACATATTCATTATAATATATAGAAATAAATTTTCTTTTTATTTTTAAGCTGTGATCTTGCTGAACTCATTTATTAGTATGAGGTGATTTTTGTACATTCCTGAAGATTTTCTCCTTAGACAATCTTACCATCTGCAAATATGAATAATTTTATTCCTTCCTTTCTGTTCTATATGTCTTTTATTTCCTTTTCTTGCCATGTTGCACTGGCTAGAACTCCCATCACTAGTTTTTGAATAAGAATGACAAAGCAGAAATCCATATCTTGTTCCTGATCATAAAGGGATGAAATCTAATTTTCCACCATGAAATAAAATGTTAACTAGTGCCTCCCTGGTGGTCTAAGGGTTAAGTCTCAGCACTATCACCTCTACAGCCTGAGTTGGATCCCTGACCAGGGAGATAACCCACATATGGAGTGGCAGACCTCTACTGTCTTGCCTGCTGCTCCCCTCAGCAGTGTA